TCTTCCTTTACCTAGAATAACAGGGGCACACTTGCCAGGTGGCACGCTAAGATTGTCTGCGAGAGTAAAAAAAGAGAATGGTCAAGACTCGTAAATGATGGGTATCCATAAATGGAGTTGGAAGCACCTGAAGAAGAGAATCAGCGTTCGATTCATCAAGATCAGCTTATAATTATGAAAAAAAGGAGGAAAATTTAAAAATAAACGCAGTGATCTCAACTCAGGCTTTAATGAAGGTATATTACTGTATGTACTGTACAGTATATCTCGTGATTTGGCGCTCGAAAATTGTGTTACAATATTTCCTTAAACTGTTCTGGACTCGGAGAAACACGATACCGCTGATGGTACTGTAAACGCATCAGTTTTATTCTTGTGGCATGGAATGTTGAAAAAAGTTTTTTTTTTTTTCAGCTGAAAGCCAGTAAGACAACCAGACTTTCCTCCTCATGACAAGTAATACCCTTGAGGTGCTACACGAACACTGCCGTGATATGAAAAGTGGCACAACATCAAATCGCAAAAAAAAAGAAGTTTGAAAAGTTCTGACGCGTAGAGACTCGTGAATGCATGTGTACGAACGAGGCCCCAATTTAGCAAAAAATTACCAGCTTTCTGCATGGATGCATGCATGCGCTGAATTTTTTCTTCTCCACCTGACCAACTTTTTGAGCTAGACGCATAAAATTTTAGAAGGCCTCGATCACGAAACGATTTCGAGAATTTATACAAGGCGATCATTTTTCCTCTATTTGCGTGACCTGCTTATCTTGCTTGCCCAAGCAAGGAGGAGATCTTTGACGGGCTCTTTCTTCCTTTTGCTTAACTGGAGCAGGCTTTCAGGATCTGGTGTACGGTGAAACTACCGCACGCAAAGGGCAATAGAGCTTCAATTTTTCCCCCGAAGCGCAATAACTTTTCGCCGTTTAGAATTCGAAAACCTGCTATTCTAAATCAAAGTCAATTGCTCCCTTGAACGCAACAACCACAGCTCAATAAATCCTAACCGCGTTTTTTCCAGCTGCTGAAATACCGGTCTATAGTCAACATATTTTACTCAAGAAACGGAATCCAGAAATTGCAAGAGCCGGTCGTCGGACATAAACCCGACTTTAGTTGGGGGGAAAATGATGAACATAAATTAACATCATTTAGGCGTCAGGTAATTACGATTGAAATTAATCTGAGGAGTTAGCTCATACATAAAATAAAACACCAGATCAGAAAAACGAAAATATTTCAGAACGAGCACAGAAACGAAATTGTATTCAACGCATTATAGTTTATCGCATAAACCAGATAAGACTCGACACAAGTTGAGGCATTAGAGCTGAACAATTAAAACAAAAAATGAGCAGAGAAACATACAGCTGAATAATCGTCGAACGATCAATACTGAATTGGCCTCTTACGTAACTCGAGCTTGAAGAGGTATTTATTTTTTCAAAATTCCTTTGAAAAGTCTCGGAGGCTTCTCATAAATTTAAATTTCAAAAAAATCTCATCCAGCTCCAAGATAACCCCCCTTTTTTAGAAATCGTACAAACGTTTAATTTTATTCATAGCTTTTCAGGTCAACAAAACTCCCTAAAGCAACGGATACTTTCTTATCAGTAATACGAGTAAACATTTTAAAAATTTCAAAATAAAAACGAAATGCACTCCAGATCACACACAGTATCTGGGTCTCCCACGCTACCGGATCTGCGTGACGTTGAATTCAACTTCCGCCTTGAGAACAACAAATAATAATTCCGTCCATGGCTTCGAATACATTCACGCTATAAAAAACGAACAAAAATTCCTGAGCAACAAAAACAAACTCTCCAAGTTACGCGTTCCGCTATTTTGCAGCACATCTGAACCGAAGTTTCGAAGTGCAGCCGTTGGTCGTTCAGAAGAAGAAAAAAGTAGACAGCAAAAAGCTTCATCAAAAAATTTTTGGACGGCGAACCGAAGAGGATAATTCATGGGGTTAACAACACTTGATATGACAGCGTGGAGGAAACACAAAAAAATTTCAAGGGTTATTTAAAAAGTTCCGTCAGTGGTCGGCTGGATGGTAAATGACCTTATTTAAAAAAAAGCAATATTGAATGATTGCTTTAACGCGGTTCCAATTTTAGCTCACCCAGGTTGAAACGAAGAAAAAACAAGAAAATTTTCATTTGATTCCTTTACTAAAAGGGACAGAGGTTGACCCTTGCGCGTTTAAAATTTTGCAGGTGTTCCACAGTGCAAATCAAACATTTCGAATAATTTTTAAAAATATCGCATAACCCAGATTCGATGCGTCGAAATTTCAGCGTCCTGTCGCATTATTATTTTTTATTGACGAGGTAGAATGTAAAGGTTATCCGAAAACGTAAACGTAAATCACTACTATTTAAGCGGGTAGACCCGGAGCTTGACTCTTTTTTCGTGCCATGTCATTTTCTTAGCTCAGAACGCAGTCTAGAATAGCACCTAAGGTGTTACCAAAGCTTCTAAGACTTTGTTTAAAAAGCACGTAAGTTCACAGTACTGACCAAACTTTTTGATCCAAGGAGGCGTCTACGGACTTTCCGAAGCTTGTAGCAGCTAGTACGTTTCGTTGCGGATTTCGTGCCTTGCTACTATCAGGATTGGCAGTTTATTGAGGTAGGGGCCCCTTGGGTTGTCCCAATGTTTTTCCCAAGTAAAAGAGAAGAATAAAATAAAATAACATGATTGACCGGGATTGCGATAGAAAATTGAAGCATTCCCGATCCCAGTAACTCGGAAACCTTCGGCATAAACCTCAGGCCTCGTCAGCCGCTTGTCAAAGGGAGAAGGCCAGTCAAATGCCGAGTAAATTAACGCCTGCCTCGCGTTCTTGTAGGACGTAATTTACATTCCTGAATCCCGGTCGATCAAACTTCCCTGCCTAGTTTTCCGAAGGAAAAATGCTCCCCTGAATTCGTCGCATAATCAAGACACACATTCGCCAGATACTTCCCGAGGTATTTCCGAACAAAAATTAACAGTAAAACGCCTCATAAATTAATATACTTTACAGGTGGAATTTCTCTACGACGAAATTCAAATGAACCCGTTGCAGAGAACCCGTATAACCTGGGGGGAAGAGAACCACATTGAACCAAAAAAATATTCGTTATACTGAGAAAATCGTAATAAATACACAAATAAAATATGATTTTGATACACAATACTGTCGTTCATGCGTTAAACGAAGAATATTTCCAAATAAATCGAAAGAAGTTGGAACGAAAAAATAGCAATGAACGAGACTTTCAAAATTCGGTAATTCATTCGAGTAGAGCAAAACAGAAATTCAATCTTGTTCAACCTTTTAAACAGAAAAATTCCCCGAAGCACTTTCGTTGGATCAACCATTCATGATCAAGGAAACTTCCAAAATTCAATTTTCCGATTACGGCGAGACACAAAACTTCGAAATTCTCAATTCGAGGCTGGTCAAATTCAATTCCCTCATCTCGAAAATGTATTAAAAAGAATCAATTTCTCCGTTTCAATCGCGAACACGAATTACAAATAAATATTACCCGAGCATTTTAAAATGATCCCGTGATGACGAAATTGCTTCGATGTCGTTAATACTGTAATTGTAAACCCAAGAACGATCATTCTCGAGCTCGAATTATTCTGAAACGAAAATAACGTACAATCAATGCCAAAACTATCGAGTTGAATTGGAAATACCATCAAAATAACCCCTAGATTTTTTCCGAGTATGACAACGGCCAATTCAAAAGTTCATAAATCGTCCACATTCCGAGGCAAAACGCTTCAGAGCATATTTTCACTTGAGTTTGATGTTATTATCCGAGAAAAAAAATGTACATTTCGCAGTTTTCTCCCAGAGCTTCGTGTTGGGAAATGTGAGAGTAAAAAATAGCTTCAAAATATTAGAAGGTGTTGAAAATATATAAACTCTAGCTTCTAAATATCTAAATTATTGGCGATTCTTTCGAGCTAATGAAGCTTATTTCATCGCTTTTCACATCGAAACTTGAAATCCTTTAATTATGCTGAAATAAAAACCCGAGACACACTTTATAATTGGCTGTTTCGCAATAATAGTTCATTTGCTATAGAGTGAAAGTCAAATCTTAACTTTTCTATGATGGAACTTTACAAAATTTTGTAATTAGACAATGTACAAGCACAACTATTGCGGATTTGTTTCAAAATATTGTACCTGCGGGACGACAGCGATTTTCTGCCACACCCGACCCGAACTTACTTACCAAGAAAAGCTCCCAGAGGAATCCACAGATTCTGCTTTTTTTTTTCATTTGCCCCGAGAAATAAAGAATACCCCAGGACACCCGGCGAAACTGACCGCTGGGGCAATTTACATTCCGATTTCCTTGCCCCCGGGCGTCTCTTACAATCGAATGACAGCTGCAGGTAGGAACGGGGCACGAGCTACGGATCTTTTTTTCAACAACACACGCGACACGTTCCGAAGAAGGGAATTTCTGCTTTTGTTCCTCTCTTACCCAAAATATACTATATATAATAAATAAATGAATAAATAA